CACAATTGTGCAGTGATTCTCTTTCCCTTTCCCATTCCTACTCCCTCTGTCATTACCATTCCTCGTTGTCCTGCTCCCTTTTGATGTTTCTTTGTGGTCAATTCCTGTTTGGTGGTGTGTCACATAAGCCGCTTATGGAATTTTATTTATTCACTTTAACATAATTGGATGTTCTTCTTCGTCGGCACACTTGTCGATCTGTCTGCCAAAAAGTTCTGAATGACTGTGCGTACGGTTTTGCGCATTGTTTGTTTGGCTGTGTGTGTGTGTTTTTGATAAATCTGTAGTCGAGTTTGTGTTGCGTTTTTTTCTCTCTGTTGTGGAAGAGGAGCAATTTTAAAATTTTCCACTCGACTTATTTTCTGTTGTCAAACAATTTACTCAGTTTTTATTAAACAGATAATTTCACTTGATGCCAAAATCGTAATTATAAATGTGTCTGGAACCATTTGGTCGGGGGGTTTTGCGCGTCAGCGAGGTATAAGAGTTTGAGGATAAACGAAAATGGATGATAAGGGTTCCAATTAAAATTTACATATTAATACTTGATAGAAATTGGGCAAAGATGGAAGTGCATTTCAATTGGGAAGATAATGTTGAATCTATGGATTTTGTTTTGTAGTTAGGTTGGAATATTTTTTTTCACAAGTTATTGCCGATGGCTTTCCATCTTAAATAATCCTAAAAAAACTATATTGGTAAATAAGCAATACTTTTTATAAAATTATAAGTACGTCCGAAGCTATGATAAGTATAATTCAAAATTCCATAATGGAAAATATATTCATCAAGTCCAATATAGTTTTTTTTTTTTTTAAATATGTTTACAAAAATCACAATAGTTTCTGATATAAGAGTGTACAGAATTTTGAAAAAAAAAAAAAAAAAAAAAAAAAAACAATAAAAACTGGTAGAGTATTAGTTCCACAGTAGTCTTAAAGATACATTTAGAACCGCACTATTGCTTTGAAAAATGCATTTAATAAATGTATTTAATAATAGTTTAATAGTCTTGAAAAAAATATGTTTAAAAAATGCATTAACCCTTGCAAAAATGTCACAATTAAAGTCCTAGAAAACAAGTCCCTAAAACATATTCTTCACAAATTGTAACTCCTTAAAAATATATCTTTAAAAATGCACGATCATTGCCACCTGATATATCTGCGATCGGTTGCTCGAAAAATCCACGAATATACATATACTTAAAAATATTATGCTTTTACGATTATAACTCCATGAAAAATCCGCTATTATAGCTCCGTAAACAATATTTTTGATTACTATTGGGAAAGTATTTTTAAAAACAACAAGTAAAAAAGCAGTAAGTTCGGTCGGGTCGAACTTTGAATACCCTCCACTATTTAGAACGAATTTGAAATTTTTCGAAAAAGATAACATTCGCCAAAAATTCTGTTAACATTTTAAAAATACCTAATATTAACCTTATATTAAGTCCTGTACGACGTGCACCTACATAGGCATTGTTTGTCACAAGCCATTACCATATTCAAATTCGAAACTTGAAATAAACGGTGAATAATGTAGCCAAAATCATCAAAATACCGTACATAATGAGGTACCGTTATATAGGAGCTATACGAAGACCTGGACCTGTATAGACAATTTTCTGTCAAAGGCTGTAGCTTCCATTACAAACTTCAAATACGACATCTCAAACAATTTCGGTGAGTATTGTACCTAAAACCGTCAAAATACCGAATATAAGTAGGTACTAATATGTGGGGCCTTTACGAAGACCTGGACCTGCATAGACAATTTTCGGTCACAGACTGTAGTTCTCATTACGAACTCTAAATACGTATTTTGAAACAACTACGGTGAATAATTGACGCTAAAATCATCAAAATACCGAATATTGGGAGGTACCCCAATACCCCAAGGTACGTATGGGGGCTAAACGTAGACGTGGACCTGAATAGACAATTTTTCTGCCTTATGCTGTTGTATCTATTTCTAACTTTAAATACCAAATTTGAAACAATTCCGGTAAATAATGTCGCTAAAATCATCAAAATACCGAATATTGGGAGGTACCGTTATATGGGGGCTATGCGAAGACGTGGGCCTACATCACCCATTTTCAATACCAAAAGTCCTGCAAACATAATACACATTCGGGTAAAATATTATAAACCTACTTCATTTCAGACGGACGGACGCTAAATCGATATTGATTTGTATGCCGATCAAGAATATATATACTTTGTGGGATCTAAAATGTATATTTCGAGGTGTTAGAAACGGAATGACAAACTTAATATACCCTCCATACTATGGTGGAGGGTATAAAAATGTAACCAAAAATATTCACTTTTTATTGTCATATTTTTACGCGATCTTCGTAGATTTTATCCTTTTGTGGCAAGAGACCATTACAAATTGATGAGAATTGTGAAAATCAGTCCAGCGGTTCTTGACTTATATGCAGAATAACTAAGATCTATTTCTTTTACATATATATTGTACCATCATCACTGCAATAGTTAGAGGTGACCTTTTAATGTATTTGTAATTTCGCCAAAATAAAAAAATTTTCGCAGTTTAGTAGAAATTTTTGTTTTTTTTTTGTGTTTTACATAAAATTTAAGGTCTACTTTAACCGCTAAATATTTTCCAATGACCGTCGAATTTGATAGGCTTCTTTGCAGCCCTAAACTCTAATTCCATGCTACATTCCGCGTCGCTTTGTTTATTATTGTGGGCTGTGGAGCAGCAGCAAAAGCAGGACATTTTTCTGTTTTTGTTTTGCGATCATTTCCAAAAACAATAGTGTTCTATTCTGACCCAAACACCACTTCCATTTTCAATTTCGTGCGAACTGCGCTGTAATTGTAACCTGTAGCTGGATTACAAATTGACATGGACAGACGGACATAAATAGCTGAATCGACTCAGTTCGGCGAGATAGGAAGATCCATATACGGTTTCCTATGTCGGAGACCAATATTTCAAGGTGTAACATAATTTTTGGCCCAATCAAACTTATAATAATAATATAAATATAATATAATAAATATATAATTCCATGAAAGTAATTTATAGAATATTATTTTAAAATCCGCGATTGTAGCTTTGATTGAAAATATATTGTTTCAGACGTCTCTTATAGTTCTGAAATAAACATTCGCAGAAGGTATTGAAATATAGCCGTGATAGATCTTCAACAATTATACTTAAAATCATTGCAGAAATGTGTTTTATAAAGTTTTATTATAGAAATGGAATGTTAAACCAGTAAAGAAAGTCCCAAAGTCGGGCGGGGCCGATTTTATAATACCCTACACCGCTTTGCTAATTTAGTTGAGCTCCACATAACAACCCTATTATTATAATTATAATTTAAAATTCAAAGGACAAACTATGCCGAAGCATTTGTATCTTTTCAATTCGGACTTATATTGCCCATTTTGTGCAAAATTAATTTGAAATCAGATAAAGATATATATGGGGGCTATATCCAAATCTGAACCGATCTCGATAAAATTTGGCAAAGATATTTCTGAGCTGTATTTGATATATTTCCCTGAATATCGTTGTTACGGTGTGCATATTACGGCTGTGGGTAACAAATACAACAAATCGGATGATCAATATATATGGGAGCTATATCTGAACCGACATACTACCTTCTAGACTCAATTCGGCCGTATGTGCCAAATTCCATCCCATTTGGGCAAATATTAGACGTTTGGTGCACAATAAATGGTAAATAGGACAAAGTTATATATGGGAGCTATATCCAAATCTGAACCGATCTCGATAAAATTTAGCAAAGGTATTACTGAGCTGCATTTGATATATTTTCCCAAATATTGTTGTTACAGAGTGCATATTACGGCTGCGGAGGACAAAAATAACAAATCGGATGAACAATATATATGGGAGCTATAGCTATATCTGAACCGATTTCGATGAAATTTGGCATACTTTTTTTCAGGCCTAGTTTGGTTGTATGTGCAAAATTCCATACTATTCGGGCTGATATTACACGTTTGGTGCACAATAAAAGGCAAATCGGACGAAGATATATATGGGAGCTTTATCTAAATTTTTACCGATTATCTCCAATTGCAATAGGGTTCGTCCTTGGGCCAAACAAATGGTGTTTGGAAAATTTGATCTCAATCGGATAATAAATGCGACCTGCATTTTGTTCACAGGAATACATGGACAGACGGACGGACTGACATGCATAAATCAACTCAGAAAGTGATTATATGCAGATCATCAAAAGGAACTTTGGGTCTATCTCGTTTCTTTTTGCCTGTTACAAACAAATGCACAAAGACATAATACCCCGAGCAAAATGTGGAGTAGGGTATACAAATGCAATATCAGATACTCCTTGAAACGTCTTTAGTTAACACGCTCTTGATTTTTAGTCGCAATTAATAAAGACTGTCATTTACTTCCAGATTGTAGCTAATAGCTGATAGCCCTTAAAAATGTCAAAAATATTTCATTTTGTCTCAGATAGCTCTATATAAAATCTGTGATTGCAGCAATGGTATGGCTGTTATTGTCCCTCAAAAACTCCAAAAATTCATCCTCAACATTTGTTGTGATATACGAAATGGTTAAAAACCCAGCCTCATATCTAATTTGCTAAGTACTTGGTTTTTCCGATATTCTTCTTTCGAATAAATATCTGAAACATCCCACCCCTTTAAAGAAAACGAACAATTTAATGTTGGAATTATTTTTTTTGTCAATAATGCTTAAAATGTATTTCATTATAATTATTATTTAGTTAATTTATTAAATTAATTATTTTTGATTTTCTTTGGCTTTAGATGTTTAGGTGTGTGTGTACGTAATGCTAATTTACAAACTTATCATTAAGAATCTAAACAATAATGGCAAACATGTACAATCATAATTTTCACAAACATTATGAAATTATAAATTCTAATTTTAAAATAGTTGCATGTCTTCATAGTTAATAATACAATATCAAATAATTTATAACAAATTGAATAAATAATCGAAATAATAATAATTATACGATAATGAGGCGAAAGATAAATAGCTTTTATTTACATCGGAAATTTTAAATTCAAGTAGATTTCTGTTTGTAGAACTCTGGTAATTGACAGAACATTTAAACTGTATAGAGCAGAGGGAGAGCAGTGTTTGAACAATGTTTTATTTTTCAATTTTTTTCGGAATTAACAAAAATTAAATTGCACTGACCCTATCTTGGTTTTCTTTTGTTATTTGTTCTGTTCCAGAACCTGCAGGAATCCAGAAATGTTTGTGATATCATAAAGAAAAAATCGATTATTTCAGTAAAATGTTTTACATTCTTGCAGTTTCGGGAACAGAGCGAATTTTTGTTTTGGAGATTTGAAATGATTTTTAAATTTCATGGAATTTTATAATTCATAATCATCTTTGTTTTCTTTTATTCCTATACAATTATCATCACATTTGTTTGGTTTTTGTTGTCTCGAGCATCAAAGAAAGGATTTTCTTTACATTTTTGTTGTTGATTAGTCTAATCCTTCCTCAGGCCTTGATATTTACGCATTTCCATTATTTGCAACAATTTATGTTGCATCTTACAATTTTATGAATGCGAATGACTCAAATGATGTGCCGCACCCAAGGGATGGAAATATGGGCCGTAGGGTGAGTAGGGCATGGTGTGTGAGTACAGCAAACTACTGGCATAGGCACCAGGTCCAAAGGAACCGGTGGGTGGTGGAATTGTCGGGCTATTCACATCCATGCCAGGATTTTGTTTCTTCCATTTGGTGCGACGATTTTGGAACCAGATTTTAACCTGGAAATAGAAGGGAAAATAATTGAGGATTATTAAAAATGAAGATAAAATAATAGTTAATTATAGCAAAATAAGAACGGGTTTGATAGCCCTTAGAATAAATTCCTAAAATCATTAATTGTAGGTCTGTCTTGAAATCTAATTTGTAAAAGTCTCAAATTTAGGAAAATACTTTAAAAATACACAAATTTTATCCTAATAATTCTCAAAAAAATCCATGAAATTTAAATAACTTAAATTTGACATTAAAAAAGATTGTTCAAAATGGTTGTAGTCCTTAAAAAAGTATTATTTAAAAAGGTTGTAGTCCTTAATTTTTTTTCTTTTAAAAATCCAAATCCATTTGTAATTGTCCTTGGAAAAAAATTATTTAAAAAGTCTAAAAATACTTTTAAAAATCCACGTTTGGATGGTTCTTGAAAAAATATTCTTAAAAAAAACCACGTTTGTTATGGTCCTTGAAAAAATATTCTTAGAAAAATCCACGTTTAAAATGGTCCTTAAAAAATATTATTTAAAACTTCCACGTTTGATACGGTCTTTAAAAAGATTCTTTAAAAAATTCAGAAGCGTGGAGTCCTTGAAGAAATATTCTTTAAAAATCCACGTTTGCTATGGTCCTTGAAAAGATATTCTTTAAAAAATCCACATCCTTGTAAAAATATTCTTTAAAAAATCCACATCCTTGAAAAAACATTCTTTAAAAAATCCACGTTTGCTATAGTCTTTGAAAAAAAAAAAATATTCTTTAAAAATCCACGTTTGCTGTGGTCCTTAAAAAAATATTCTTTAAAAAAATCCACGTTTCCTATGGTCCTTAAAAAAATATTCTTTAAAAAAATCCACGTTTGGTCCTTGAAAAAATATTCTTTAAAAAAATCCACGTTTGGTCCTTGAAAAAATATTCTTTAAAAAAATCCACGTTTGGTCCTTGAAAAAATATTCTTTAAAAAAATCCACGTTTGGTCCTTGAAAAAATATTCTTTAAAAAAATCCACGTTTGGTCCTTGAAGAAATATTCTTTAAAAAAATCCACGTTTGCTATGGTCCTTGAAAAAATATTCTTTAAAAAAATCCACGTTTGCTATGGTCCTTGAAAAAATATTCTTTAAAAATCCACGTTTGCTTTGGTCCTTGAAATAATATTCTTTAAAAAAATCCACGTTTGGTCCTTGAAAAAATATTCTTTAAAAAATCTACGTTTGGTCCTTGAAAAAATATTCTTTAAAAAAATCCACGTTTGGTCCTTGAAAAAATATTCTTTAAAAAATCCACGTTTGCTATAGTCTTTGAAAAAATATTCTTTAAAAAATCCACGTTTGCTATGGTCTTTGAAAAAATGTTCTTTAAAAAATCCACGTTTGCTATGGTCTTTGAAAAAATGTTCTTTAAAAAATCCACGTTTGCTATAGTCTTTGAAAAAATATTCTTTAAAAAATCCACGTTTGCTATGGTCTTTGAAAAAATATTCTTTAAAAAATCCACGTTTGCTATAGTCTTTGAAAAAATATTCTTTAAAAAATCCACGTTTGCTATAGTCTTTGAAAAAATATTCTTTAAAAAATCCACGTTTGCTATAGTCTTTGAAAAAATATTCTTTAAAAAATCCACGTTTGCTATGGTCTTTGAAAAAATATTCTTTAAAAAATCCACGTTTGCTATAGTCTTTGAAAAAATATTCTTTAAAAAATCCACGTTTGCTATAGTCTTTGAAAAAATATTCTTTAAAAAATCAACGTTTTCTATGGTCCTTGAAAAAAATATTCTTTAAATTATCCACGTTTTTATGGTCCTTGAAAAAAATATTCTTTAAAAAATCCACGTTTTCTATGGTCATTGAAAAAAATATTCTTTAAAAAATCCAAGTTTGCTATGGTCCTTGAAAAAAATATTCTTTAAAATATCCACGTTTGCTATGGTCCTTGAAAAAATATTCTTTAAAAAATCCACGTTTTTATGGTCCTTGAAAAAATATTCTTTAAAAAATCCACGTTTTTATGGTCCTTGAAAAAATATTCTTTAAAAAATCCACGTTTTTATGGTCCTTGAAAAAATATTCTTTAAAAAATCCACGTTTTCTATGGTCCTTGAAAAAAATATTCTTAAAAAAATCCACGTTTTCTATGGTCCTTGGAAAAAATATTCTTAAAAAAAATCCGCGTTTTCTATGGTCCTTGAAAAAAATATTCTTTAAAAAATCCACGTTTTCTATGGTCCTTGAAAAAAATATTCTTTAAAAAATCCACGTTTTCTGTGGTCCTTAAAAAAATATTCTTTAAAAAACCCACGTTTAGAAGGGTCCTTGAAAAAATATTCTTTAAAAAATCCACTTTTAGAAGGGTCCTTAAAAATATATTCTTTTCAAAATTCACGTTTACTATGGTCTTTGAAAAAATATTCTTTAAAAAATCCACTTTTAGAAGGGTCCTTAAAAATATATTCTTTACAAAATCCACGTTTGCTATGGTCCTTGAAAAAAAAATATTCTTTAAAAAATCCACGTTTGCTATGGTCCATGAAAAAATATTCTTTACAAAATCTACGTTTGCTATAGTGTTTGAAAAAATATTCTTTAATAATCCACATTTGCTTTGATCCTTGAAAAAAATTTTTTTTTAAAAAATCCTTGTTTGCTATGGTCCTTGAAAACATATTCCTTAAAAAATGCACGTTTGCTATGGCCCTTGAAAAAATATTTTTTAAAAAATCCACGTTTAGAAGGGTCCTTGAAAAAATATTCTTTACAAAATCCCCACTTGTAATAGTCCTTGATAAATGTTTAAAAAATACCCCTCATATTGCTTTTAAAAATCTGTTAAAAGTGGCTAGTCTGTTATTGTTCTTAAAAAATATTTTTTAAATAATCCATATTTGGAATAGTCCTTCAAGAAATATTCTTTGAAGTAGTCTTTGAAAGAAGTCCTTTTGGAAATGCCTATATTTGTTTTCCTTTATTTTCAAATATTTACCTGTGTTTCAGTCAGCGACAGACTCAATGCCAAATTCAAACGTTCGCACACACTCAGATACCGGGTTGTCTTAAATTTATTCTCCAAGGACACCAATTGTTCATATGTAAATGCGGTGCGGGCTCGCCGGGGCTTTGAACCACCACCACCACTGCTATTCGATTTTCCATCACCGGAACGGCCATCACCCTTTTTCGAATCTGTCTCACTCGTATGATCATCAATATCACTCATGCCATCATCACACATGTCATCCTGGTCCATGTCATTAAGGTCTTGGGCTAAAGACGGAAAAGGGAAGAAACGAGAGAACAAAGAAGAATTGTAAATATTAGATAAATAGAAATAAATTAGCAATTATTGATGTTAAAACTAAACTAATAGTGGAATATATCTCTGGAAATTATCATCAATCACTCAAAGGCAAATGGTCAGCACATCATTCCAAACGATGTCACCACATGCATGAGTTGGTTTGATGATGGTGACCACCAATGCAATAAAAAGGACAATTGTCTATCTTTCAAAATATAAATTGAAATCAATCACTTTCACTTTGCGCTACCCCACCCACCCCTGTTGCCACAGTCATCATCGGAGTCGTCAGAATGGGCCATCAAAAAAAAAAAAAAGAAAAAAAGGTAACACCCTCCCACAAAAATGCAATCAATATTTGATGGTCGCTCTCCCACACCACCAACCTCACATCATTCACGCCATGGCATGAAAAGGCAAAAAAAAAATGACAAAATTAATTGGAAATAAATCTGTGTTGGGCCTTGGTGGGCCTGGGGACTCATATCCACAGACATACATACATACACATTTGAGAATTGATGTTACCATTCAATTCAATTAAAATAGATTATGGCTGGCTGCTACGCCGTTGTTGTCACAGTTGTTTTGCACACACCCATATACATACATGTATAGTTGTGCGGGTGTAGTTGTGACAACCAATTATTTGTGATGTTACAACAATTTATGCCATAGCGATTTTATTCACTTTGATCTCCGCATAATTCGTTGGCGAGTTATTAAATGGAATCGGAAAATAGTTGTTTTATATTTTTCGAAGGCCTTCGATTGGAAGGGGAAAATACAACTGACCGACTGTGAAATGACCTTTCACCACTTAGGATATATGAAAAATGTGAATAATTACACTGTTCTACAAAATTCATTTTCTCAATAATTACGGGAAAAATCCAGCAGAATATGAAAGTAGAGCAAAAAAAAAAAAGAAGAAACGTGTATCGGCGTTTTGAAAGTAAGCAATTTAGATAGTGCGTGCTTCTTCCACACTTCTACACCTTTCAAAATTTTCGGATTACGATTCTTCGGAATCCATGCATTTTATATATATAAAGTCTTCGCGCGATATTGCAAATTAAAATACAAGGACTATTTTTTTTTTATCAAAAATATTAAACCTCAGGCGAGTCAAGAAAGAGGCCTTTCTGGTCCCTTTTTAAATATGCTGAAAAACTTCCATTAAACTGAATCGTAGCAAAGTCAAAATATTCTACAAAATTATTTGTCATGTAATTCTGTGTAGGCCCTAGAAGCCATAAGTCATGAGTCTAAATCTTACGTAAAGAATAAATAAACACCACTATGCATATTTGGTAGTAGATCATACGTCCCGAAATTCACTCCATTTGAGCTGATATTAGCCATTATTCAAATCTTAGCCATATATCCAAATCTTAGCCGATATCGATAAAATTAGGCAAAGGTATTTCCGTGCTTTATAAGATATCTGGTACCAAATATCATTGCTGTCGAATGCATATTACGAAATGGGGGACTTAAACACCAAATCTGATGAAATATACATATGGGAGCTATAGCTATATCTGAAGATATATATGGGAACTATATCCAAATCTGAACCAATCTTGCTAAAATCAGGCAGAGGTATTTCTGAGCTGTATCTGATACCAAACATCATTTTGGCGGGGTGCATGTAACGAATGCTGGAGACTTTAACACCAAATCGGATGAAACACATAGTATATGGGAGCTATATGAAGTACTTGCTTCTAGATTGAATTCTGTCGGATGTATCAAAATTCAGGACTTATGGTCTGATATTGGCTATTTGGTGCACGACTAACCCGAAATCGGTTGAGGATATACATGAGATCTACAGGGTTGTCCATATTCGACGGACCCATCTGATAACGCCATAACTTTTGACAGAGATTTCACATCGCTTACAGACATACCGCGTTTGAAGCGTCAGTCCAAGCAGATTTTTACCATGAACCAATACACGCCACGCGAGCGCTCTGAAATAGTTGAAATTTACATTCAACAGAAGAAGTCAATTGTGAAAACTCAACGTGCTTTTAAAACATTAAAAAATGTGAGAAATGCGTCTTCTAAGAATACCATTATACGAAAAATTTTCGATAGGTAAGGCTCTTTCTAATCCGAAGAGGCCATATAAAAGTCGACCAAGGCGATCGGCCGAGAATATCGCTGCCGTACGAGCCAGTGTTGAGAGGTCCCCAAGAACATCCCAAAAACGCCGTTCTCAGCAGTTGGGCATGGCCCGGTCCACTTTACAACGGATTATTCGCATTGATTTGTATTTGTTCCCGTACAAAATTCAATTGACGCAAAGAATGTTGCCTGCGGACAAGCCTCGTCGATTGAAATGGGCCCAAAGAATCATGGGTCCGTCGAATATGGGCAACCCTGCATAAAATAGTTTGAAATATATTTTGCATGTCATATTATATATTATTTGCCACTGCGCAGCACTTCTTTTCACAAACCTCACTAGTACCGCATAGCTGAACACAGATCGACCTATCGCGTTATACGAGGTCTGAAGGGTCTTATTATAAGCACCTTTTTCCTACTTTTCATTTTTTCGCAGATAGCTGTGGCTGGCACGAACGACTAAAACATGCTGTCCCCTAGAATCTTCGGGTAGTTCGTGTTGTGAATTAAATTTCCCTGTAACTGTATATTCAGCTGAGTGCTTATCTTCGCAGAGCATATGGTAAAGAGTGTCCACTGCTAATTCACTTGTTCTGGGATCAATAGTGTTGGAACGACGGACATAATCACGCTCAATTGCTACTCCTTCAGCCTCTACTGGGAAATTTGATATTACTTCGAATATTCGACCAACAGGTACATGCGGCAGAAGCTTTGATTAGGTCTCGGAAAAATCTTTCTTACAACCCCAATATCCAAAATCTTGCCAGAGAGCTTTCCCATGGTTAAGTAAAGTGTGGAGTTCAAAGATTATATATTCTTGAAAAATGTTAAACAAAAAACAGGAGAAGTTCCTGAAAAGTAATCCTCAAGAATCCACCACTTATATAGCGGGAAGCTGTCGAAAGAATTTTTTTTCAAAGCCAATTAATCCTTATAAAATATTTTTTTTATAAAAAAAACATGACTTTTGGCCAGGAATTTTTTTAAAATATTATTATATTTTTTTTTTAATCCGCGTTAGTCCTTGAAAAATCCATGATAGGTTTTTACTGCGATGTTTTATTTTATAAAAGCATTGTGAAAAATAAGATGGGAAGACATTGAAGAGCATTTGTAAAAAGTCTTCTATTCTTGGCTTGGTAGTTTCCCAAAAAATAATCTCTTTTTTAAATCCCAGAAGCATTTTTTGTTTGAGTTTCTGCACACAGAAGTGTCTTAATTTTTTAATATTCACTATTCTTTACCAGGAATGGTTGACTACAAAACCTTTGGTTGCAAGTTAGAAACAAAAAAAAAAAAAAAAATTACAAATTCATTGACTCATGGGGAAAGTTGGTATGGTCACTTCGTATGATATGTCACCCTCAAAATAATTCGGATGCAGTTTTGTAAGTAGTTTATTTTTCCAAAAGGTTTTTAATTAACCCCTTTACTTGGAAAATACATTTTTTTGTTCTAACGTTGTATAAAACCAATGAAGCCGGCTTAACCTAAGCAGACTTTAATATGAATTATTTAATTTAGGACTCCTTCATAATTAAATGTTGCGAAATGGTAGCGAAGGTCTAAGAACATTATTTGACTGTTTCACAACATGTCCGATTTTCCTTCAAACCATTTTGGCTTTGTGGAAAATTTCTAGGAAATCAACTACCAAACAATCCCATCAAAAAATCAACATTTTTTCACCGTAACCTCCAAGAAAACTCCCTTCTTACGTTTAATCCGTCATTTGCTCCACCAAAAACAAAAAACGAAAATCCAAAACAAGAAAGTAAGGACAATTAAGTAAAAGTTTACTTGTTAACAAATTAACTACACAACAAAACAATTTAGAAACCTCAGGCAAGGTTAAACATTTTCATGGCAAGACGAAGCAGCAACAACACTATAAAACGAATGCTTACCCCGTCGTAGCTAAAACCAAACCAAACAATCAAATCGTTTTTGAAACCCTTTCGGCATGGCTTGTACGAACAACGTTCACCGATGTGGCGGATGGGGTGCGAATGCTTGTTGGATTCTTTAAAATGCCATTTAAGTAGCGTTCAAAATGCACTCAAGCATTAAGCGGCGAAACAAGATTAACAACAACACCACCAACAATTTCTCATTGTTAAGGATATTAGTTGCAAATAAATTGGAATCAAATTGTCGTCTTCGTAACAACAGCAACAAAAGGGTTGAGATTTAAATAATTCCAAGTGTTTGCTTGTGGAGAGGGTGAAGGCAAACCTGTCAAACCCTTTTCAAAAACGACAAGACATGACTACCTTTTCGCTAGAAGATAAGGAAGGAGGATTTTTTCATTGACTGGCGTTTGAGGAAAGAAAGTTGCTAACATTTGTAAATGTCGCCAAGGAGTTGTTGCTTGAAATGTGTAAATTCAAGGTATTACCACGAAAGACTTAATCAAGGGAAAGTTTTGGTTGAAGAGATTTTCACTCATTTTTGTTTTTTTTGAAAGTTTAACGAAAGGGATTTTAGTTGGTTACTGAGAAAATTTTACAGAGGGTTAGGGTATTTTTAAATAATTAATAGACATTTTTACATTACTTTGAAAATGATAAAATGACGAAATTGATCTAAGAATATAACTTTTTTATTTTTTAATGAAAATCAGAATGAAAAATGATAAAATATAAACTTAGATAATAATAAACTTATAGAAGACCAGAAGGTAATTCAATAGAAGAGCAGAACGTCATCTTATGGAAAATGGGAAAGACTACCCATTGAAGAGGATGAACTGATCTTCTATTATATTATCTAGAATTACTTTCCTCTGTTACTTTCCTGGAGAACCTTTTCATCTTCTATGGAA